TTGTTTAATGATCTCTATTGATTATTGCTCTGATTTATGTTAACTTTCAGGATTCTTGATAATTTCTATAAGCTTATATTCAATTTAGAGTTGTAAGAGATCTTCTTTAATTATTTTGCCTTGTTATCAAAGATATATAATATGTTGAGTTAGAATTTGTTCTTTGTGAAAGGTTGTCACATCTACTCCTAGTATTTTAACTATAATACTATCTAGGATAGTATATGTTTTTGGTAATGAGACTACTGGTCTGCTGGGTTCATTATTTCATTGTTTTAGTAGTTGTTATGAAGCCCATAAAGTAGAGTGTTTGCCATGTTTTAATGAGATGTTGATTAATATATTTACTATATCCTCTTCTCTTTTACTAACTATCTGTAATATACATTATACTCTATTTATGTATGTTACTAGTTTAAATTTATTGATGAGCATATGATTGCTTGTTTATATTTGTCAGTTATTCTATTTTTGGGTCACAGATAAATATTTCTAGAGTTGTTGTTGTTGTTTATATTTTTTATTAGTTAATACAGAAAAACCTTGTTGTATTGTTTTGATAAATTTATTTGTTGATATTGAAGATCTTATCCAAATTTTGCAAGTTGTTATTGTGTTTGTATGAAATATTAATCAACTTGTTTGGATTACAAGTTATACATGTATATATGTATTTTGATTGTACTTTTACATATATACTTGTTTTGTTTGTCCACTTTTTATATAATTGTGTTTGTATAACAAGATGAAGAATAAGTATGTTATTTATATATATACTGTATATACATTTAGACTGTCTTGTCCTTGTAAAGCTTTGATATTCTTCTGGGCCTTTGAGTAACTGAAGTAACTTGATTTATCAAGTAAACTTAGTTACTTCCTAGGTTTCTTGCAGTATCAAGAAAGGTGTTAACCTGTACTGGCCTGGTTGCAAACTTTGTGAAGTTGATATTGACTCCTTTTTTTTGACTGTGAATTAGTTTACAGGTTTCTTTTCTTTTTTCTAAAAATTTTAAGAAAAAGGAATAAAAGAAAATTAGTAAAACAATATACTATATATCTCTTTTCTTGATGTTTCTAAAAAGCTTATTGTATGTGTGTTACAAGAGCTTGATACTTGATTTGAAGAATATATTGTTTTTTCTTATATGTTTGACCAGGTTTACTTTTTTCAAAAAATTGCCAAAAAAGAAAATTTTTTAAAAAAAAGAGAATCAGTGGAAAGAGTTTTTTTTTTCAATATTATATACTATATATATATATACAATATATAAAATATTTATAAAACTTTTAATATTATTGTAGTAATGAATTACAGGCAATGATACTAATAGTTGAAAGAATATTTATCTGAACAATTAGTAAAATAATAAATTATTTCCAAAGTTGCACTTAGAATAACAATGATTAAGATAAGTAAATTAATTAGAGATCTAGCATTGGTGTAATATTGATATACAAAGTTTACAAAATATTTAATAAAGTACACATAATTAGCTTAACAGAAGGAAAAAATAAAAAAATATAAAAAAATAAAAACTTTTAATAATTATTATTTTAGACTTATTTTAATTATTTTTTAGTTTAAAAAAGATATTTTTTGAATTTTAAGAAAAAAATTATAAATTAGATTTAAAGAATTAAAGCTATATTAAATATTTAAATTTAAAATTTTTTTATTATTTTATTATTGAATTGTATCTTTTTTCTTTTTATTTTTTTTACTTTTTTTACTTATTTTTAAACAAGTTGTTTATTGTTAATTTTATTAATAAAAGAATATAATTACCATTTGATAGTATTTTTATTAAAATATTTTTGAGATTATATATTTTTTAAATTGATTTATAATATTATTCAAATATAGTTAATTTTATTATAAAAGATATTATTAATTCATGTAAATGTATTGTTATTTCTTTTCATAAGTTTTGAATATGATTTCAATCTTCTGAAAAATTAAAGAAATCAATTTTAGCCTTTATATATAGTATATTAGAATTTTTTTGTTAGAAAGTAGTTGATCTGCTATTAATAAAATTTAAACTAAAACTTTTTCTGCTAATCCTTTGCCCATACACAAAAAAAATATTCGCAAGAAATTTTTTATTTCTTTGCTAATAAAGTTTTAAATCAACTTGAAGTTTTATTTCAAGAGATACTTTTAAATCCTTTTTCTTGTTTATATTTATATTTAAACAAAAACTTGACTTCCTATAACTTAGAAAAATTAAAAAACATCCTCTTTACTTATAGCAAGAAAGTTCTATAAGAAAAAGAACTAATAATGTAATATCCAAAGTCTTTTATATTAAAATATGTTTATAGAGATTTTGCATAATAGGAGGTAATAAATATCAAATCATATTTTCAAAATATCTGCCTACTGTTTTTTTTCTCTTATAGTCACTCAAATTTTTTTGATTTTCTGAAAAATTTTGTTTATCTCAGTTTGACTCTAAATTTAGGTGACATAATCTATTGCAAAATATAATTGATGGATACAAAATATATAGTTAAATGTAAATAAGTCCTTATTGATTATCTTATATATTTCAATAATATTATTGGTAATAAAAAAAGTTGATTAATATCTTGTGTTTGTCCTAATTCTTCAATTGGATTAATCTACAAATCAAGTTCTATAAGACCAATAATATATAAGCAACAAGTTTTCCAGATAATAAAAAAGGTGCTATTCATTCAAGTTGAGGTTTTTCTCTTTTATTATTCTAATTAAACAAAATTCAAGACCAAAGTTTTCTTTTCATCCTAATCAGGGAATAAGACTGAATAGTTACTAGTCTATACTAAGATTCAATCCTTTGGTTACAATTGAAAATGCATTTTCTCAAAAGTTGTTGAAGAATATTATAATTGATAAGGATTTCTATCCATTTTTGAAATCCTCTTATCATTATAAAACAAAAAGATTGTCAAGAAATCTGATCTTTTGAATAATGAAAGATATATACCAGTAAATTTTATTTAACTAGACATGATTGCTGAAAGGTATTATATTGAAACAACATGGCTCAGTTCTTATTGGAGCACATAAGAACTTGGGATTCATTATAAGTTATTTCTCTATCACAGGTGAATAAAAAATCACTTTCTAAAGAAGATTTGGATCAAGTGTGTTTTGGAAAAAAGGCTCTCATTAGGTAATAAGTTTTTTCAGATGATATATAAGAAGGAAATCAAGATCAAGAATAGATAAGTTCCTTAAACAGTCAGAAGAAGAAAGGATATTCCAATTGGATATTTTTTATTGAGAAGAAGTCTTGAAAAGTAGGTCTTTGAAAAAAGCTAAAAATTTTTTTTTAATTTTTTAATTTTTATTTTCTTGTTGTTTATTTAAATATTTTAGATATTCCCCTTCTTTTTTTTCAACCCATCCTTTTGTAGTTTTCTATATTTCATTGGCTTGATATGATATATGGCAGTGACAACTTGTTGGCAATAATGCAGTAGACTAGAAGAGTCTTTATCCAAAGATATTGTGAAGCAAAATATTGTTTTCAAGGTTGAACTTAGAGGCTTTTATACTTATAATGAGTTAATTAGATTAGAATAATAGTTTAACTGTAGTATATATCATGCTGCTTGAATAAAAATGTACTTTTGTTTTCAATTGATTAATAAACTGCCAATCTAGCCTGGCTATGGGTACTCAAAAAAAAAGTCTTTTATAACTATAATTCTGAAGTATTTTTTCTAATTTTTTTTAAGGTTTTGTTTTGAAGTAACTATTACAGTTATTTATTTTCAAATAGTAAATAAACTTTATAGACAAATCTTTCTTTATTAATATGATTTAGATATATAGGAAAAGGTCTTATATATAGCTCAATATGCTTTGGTGAAATGCCACGTAGTTCAATATCTTATCTTTTTTCTCATTTTTAACAAAAGTTTGCTAAAAAAAATTAAAAAAATTTTTGTAGCCGCCTAACTTAAATCCTCTTCTACTAATTTGGAGATTCATCTCTAGTTGGATACAGAGGTTATTGCACTCGCAAAAGAGAATTATAACATGTTTAGGAATTTCCGTTTTCATGAACAAGAAGATAGAGCCAAACTGCGTACAAAAAAAAAGGTAAGGACAATGATATGCTATGGAAAGAACGAGTAAGATAAATTTATGGGTTGAAATTCTTAGATTTTTGGCCGCGTACCCAGAGATGATTCGGGCGTCGCTAGAATTTTTGCTGAGTACATAATTAGTGTGAAGAAGCAGTATGTGAAAAGCCCATTCGTTGTCTTTCTTTCCCTTTCAACACTGCGGTATTGGTGTGCTTAGAGCAGAACTTGTATCGGGAAAGTTTAGTTTTCAATTTCCATATCTCACCAAGTGGGTGCAAATACAACACCATCTTTTTTAACGTGCATGCAGGTAGGACGATTTATTCGAAGTAGTTTTACAGTATATTCCTGTCCCTTCTTTCATTGCAGAATCCCGAATTTCAAGACGCACAAACCAAATTGAAAAGCATATCATAAATAAAAAATTACATATCACATCTTGCTTCGTTACCTTGTTATATTTGGACACAAAAAACGGTGCTCAATCTACTAACCGGAAACCTATTCGTGAAGGATTAGTTACGCTAAGACATTGACACGATGAATTATTTCGCTGCGCAATTTAATCACCTGACATTGAACGAATTTGGCAGTAACACGAAAATTTTTCAATTTGCATTAGTACAAATTTTTTCGATGTACGCGTTTAAAAAGCCCTGAGGATGGACAAATTTTTCAGAAATAGAAAGAGTTATTTTGCTCGTAAAAATGAGTAAGCCTGAACTATTTATTGGTCAAATGAAAATAACAGTATGAAGATAAAAAAAAAAAAAAATAAATGAGAAAAGAAAATATATAATTTTGATAAATAAAAAATCTGTGCACATTTTCACAAAAACTTTATATAAAATAACTCAACCTATTATTACAATTTAACCCTCCAGCGGAAAGTTAAGCACCATTGGTAAAAGCAATCATTTATTATGGAGAGGATTTGAACCTGTTGGTACAATTCTATCGGGACCTATCTCCGATGGCGATTCTTTTTTATTATTATGAAGGGGATTTGGCCCTGATGGTACAGTCCTATCGATTTGAGGAGAACCTATTTCTGATGGTGATTCTTTTCTTTTATTATGGAGAGGATTTGAACCTGTTGGTACAGTTCTATCGGGACCTATCTCCGATGGCGATTCTTTTTTTTTATTATGAAGGGGATTTGGCCCTGATGGTACAGTCCTATCGATTTGAGGAGAAACTATTTCTGATGGTTGTTCTTTTCTTTTATTATGAAGGGGATTTGACCCTGTCGGTACAAACCTATCGGGTTGTAGAGGACTTGTCCCAGATTGTAATTCCTGTCTTTTATTAAAGCTTATAGGAAATGCTTGAGCAACAATAAAGATTGCCAAAAAGGTTGCGAGGATCAATGCTGGTTTCATGATAAATAAACGTTTAATATTTTATTTCGTGAGAATTTTTGAGTTTTGTTCAAGTTAAAAAGCGAAAGTTAATAAGATGGCACCTCTATATATGCATAGTTGGAAGCTAAGGCATATTAATATTCTAATACATATTTATTGTCTAACAAAAAAAGGCCTTCAAAAAAGACTAATTTGCAATCTACAGTATATTAATTGGTGGAGGAGACGATCAAACAAGAATACTTATGTCCTCAGAGGCCTTTATCCCGCATTTAGGATGAACAAATCACCGAGTCCACTTGTCAGTAGTCAAGAAATTCTCCATTTTCGGTTACAGTCTCACAACTCCTGTTCACATTCTCGGTTGTAGTATTAATTCTATTATTTTAATGGCTGTTCTGGAGTCCAACATTCTCTTCCATAGCTTTTCATTTCAGCTTATAACCTTGCTTCTAGTTCGTTAATTCGTTGCTTCGGCAAATCAACTTCAGTGATGAAGACTTTATATAAGGCACAGATTACTATATCTCTAAAGTGAACCCATTCGCATGTGGACAAAGTACAATAGTCAACGAAATTAGTGAATCTTTCCAATCTAAGATCAGTGAAATTCGCAATAATATAATTTGCTCCTTAACAGTGATCGCGAATTAGGATCAGAGTGAGTGTGCATGATTGGTTCTCAAAATGTGATCACGATAGGAGATGGTTTTATAGGTTCAGTTGGTTTCGTTTAAAACCAATTCAGAACTTCATTTAAATTAAAAATAGAAAAATCTTTAAAATTTCGAATACCTTATTTAATATTATCATTTTTTTTTTTTTTTTTTTTTTGATAGCATAACTTAGTCAATTTTATTGAAAAAATTAATGTAAAGAGAGATTAAAAGTGGTTTATAACCCAAGATTTTACACTAATTTATGAAATAACATTAAAAACATTTACTATATATAAGACAGTTCATGTAACTAATATTCTTGAGGGCCATGGGCTCAAGAATATATGAAATTTCGCTTGATGTTATTAATGATGGGTCCCTAAAGTCTAACATTATGTCCTATAACCGAAAGTTTTATAATCAAAAGTGAATTATGTCCCCTCTAGACTTTAGGTTATGGGACATAATTTTATAACCGAAAGTCAAATTTTTATAACCGAAAGTCAATTTATAACCGAAAGTTAATTTTTTATAACCAAAAATCAATTTTATAACCAAAAGTCAATTTTTTATAACCGAAAGTCAATTTTATAACCAAAAGTCAATTTTTTATAACCAAAAATCAATTTCATAACCGAAAGTTATTTATAATCGAAAGTTAATTTTTTATAACTGAAAGTCAATTTTATAACCAAAAGTCAATTTTTTATAACCAAAAGTCAATTTCATAACCAAAAGTCAATTTTTTATAATCAAAAGTCAATTTCATAACCAAAAGTCAATTTTTTATAACTGAAAGTCAATTTCATAACCAAAAGTAAGGACATAATGTACAAATTTTGATCAAAAGATCTACCTCAAAAAATTTCTGATTAATTAATTTATTTTTAGTAATATATACTGTAGTTGAATCAAAATATAATGGCGACCAAATTTTTTACTGTAAAAACATTTTTTACTAATTAAATTAATCTCAAATTTTTTTATTTAAAATATTAATATCATAAACTCTTTCCGCTGATCCTCTGATCACACACAAAAAAGATGTTCGCAAGAAATTTTTACATTTCTTTGCTAATATAGTCTTATAACTTTCCTTAAACCAACTTGAAGGAACCCTTCAAGAGTCATTTTTACCTTCCCCCTCCTCTTGTAAACAATCTTCTTCAAACAAAAACCTGACTTTCAGTGACAAAAGTCCTAAATATATCTTTTTTATTAATGGCAAGAAAGTTCTGAAAGGAAGAAGAACTGAAGTGCTGCTATCCATTTACTTGCTAAAGAAATATTACAGAGTTTTTTTGATGATGAGAGACTTATTTTGAAGGCAACCACCCACTCTCTTGTCATGTTTCAGCTCTAAAAGTGCTTTTTCTCAGTTTTTTTGAGGAATTTTGTCTACCTCAGTTTGATCCTGAATTCTGAGTAGCACAAAATTTCTCAAGCTGTGATTGGTCAGCAGAAAACACGTCAGTAAAGGAATGTAAACAAGCTCCTATTGATCACCTCATATGTCTGAATGTATTTTCTCAGTATCCATAAGAACCTGGGGTCCACTATAAGTCATTTATCTACGGTACGGATGGATACAGGACATGAAAACCTATGACGTTATTGGCTACACGAAAATAATAGTACTGGATTAGGACACACCGGATAGAAAACAACAGCTTTTCACTTCCCTTCTCTTACTCCAGTGAACTCAAATCAAAAGAAAATGACCGTATGGAATAGGATCCTTTTGGGAGAGTTTTGGATACCTATTGCCTTTTCTTTGGAAACATATCTGCTGCCTTGTCAAACAACAGAGTACCTCTCCCATGGTATATCAAACCTTCTCTCTGGACAAGTTAGTGGGCTTAACTCATGAAAAAGGATATTTGATAACACCACTACTACCCAAACTCAAGAAAAAAACTATGGGACTTTCTCTTGTTTTAACCATCTCCCAAACTCCACCAAAAACCGTGGTCAGCTT